GGGAAGAGGAGCTCTGCAACCCACCGCGCCCCGTACTGCAGCCTCTGAGCTGGGGACGGGCTGGCAGCCCCTGGCACCGGTGGGCTGCCGGGGTCCCACTGCCCCACCACGGCATTTACAGAGACCTGCCCGTCAGAAACGGCGTGGGAAGGTAACCCCGGTAAACCTACGGCGCTATCCACTTTCAGGTTATTCACCGCCAGTCCCTGCTACGTTTTAAATCACATCCAGGAAAACTCCTTGCCAGGGTTGCGAAAAGCTCTCTCCTGGTAAAGCTCTCTCACGGTAACCAGGCCTTGGACGCTGTCTCCAGCCTCGGCGACTGGAGGGCTGCTCTCCACCAGCCTTAGAAACCGGTTCGGGGCAGGGGAAAACCCCCTTTACTGCTAGCGAACCGTACCATCGCTATTCTCAACTGGGTTTCCAGAGGCTGTCCTTGAAACGACGTGCTGGCACTAGCACGTGAAAACAGGATATTTAAAAAAAAAAACCAAAACAAACCCAAACCAACCACCCCAGGACTGCTGGCTCGCCCCGGCAGGTGACGACGGCGAGGACCGCCCTGGGATCCTGCACTTCTCCAGGGCACTGGACGGAGAGAGCCCAGAGCTTTGTGCATCTCGCGACACTTCAAACCCAGGTGAATATTCCCTCTCCTCCGAGCCTCGGTGCTGCCGGCCGTACTCTAACCGCAGCCCAGCAGCACCCCGTTTCCCTTCCCACACCGGAGCCTTTTCGGTGCACGCAACCGGCCGTCGGGGCCAACGCCAGCGCCGGCTGCGCGCCGGGGACGCGGTGACGACGTCGGTCCTGGACCGGGGGACAGGGAGGGAGAGATCCTGGACACGCTTGCACCTGTACCTACCTGCTACCCCCTCTAGCCAGAAACCACGAACTCCTTTGCACCGCATCGCGACGTCCTGAACCAGGACAGAAAGGGCTTAGTATCGGCTCAGGGCTCTTCTTTGGCTTCTTGTGGTATTTAACGCAGCTCTGTCACCTCCTGCCCCAGGCCCTTCGGCACCAACCTCACCTGCTGTCAGCACAGTTTCTTCTCAGCACAAGAGCCCACCACTCCCTTTTTGCCCTCTGGGATGTGCTGGCTCCATGGGAAAAGGAGCGTCGCTAGCATAAATAAGGGAGGAGCGTGCCAAGGAGCCCGTGGGTTTCTGAAAACACCTGCCTGTTCCCCTTGCTCAGTGCCCGGACGGCAGAAACCCTTGCAGGGGCGGGGGGGCAAGGAAGCAGCGTGGCTTCAGAAAGCTGAGGAAGATGGAAGAGAAAGTGGGTCTGGGGGAAGATTCAGCCCCAGGTCTTACAGCAGCCCCAAGCCACTGGGGCTTGCACGTGAAGGCGGCAGAAGCCACCATCGCCACTGAAAGGGACGTGCCTGCTGTCCCCCACCCCGTGGCCCCCATCGCCGGTGTCTCATCCTCTCCCGGGGACACTCGGGAGCGACTCCGGCCAGGCAGCAGAACGGAGCCAGACGAGAGGCACGAGGCGCAGCGTCCCAAGCCAAGCCCCACGAGTACCCGTGCCGGCCTGAGGACGGCTTCTTCCAGGAGCGCTGCCTTCCGACGGACGAAGATCCTGGCGCAGGACAGCTCTCCCTACCCCGGCCGGTGCCCCACCAGCAGACACATGGAATTCAGAGCCCTTAAAGAGTGACTCCAGCGTCTGTACGAACTGTTTTCCCCCGAGCAGCATTTCACCAGGAGCTGGATGAAGGGCTGAGCTCCCAGGGCATCGCTGAGGAGCTGAAGGGCAAAAGCGAGGGCTGGCAGACCAGGAGAGCACGGGCGAGTATCTCGGCGACACAGTGCCCAACACAGGGAAGCCCTGAGGTCTTGGCTCCGTCTTCCTCCTTCCTCCATCTCCCTCTGCCTGCACATGCTCCCCTCCGCCTTGCCTCGGCCGCCGCTCCTCCGCCCCGGGACGCTCCCTCCGGCAGGGAGCTGCAGTACGGCTTGCTTTGCACTTTGCCTTCATCAGGCTTTTAATCAAGACGGCGCTTTACAAACATTAACTAATTAATCTAGCACATTTCCATCAGCACAGCTGCTTGTGGGGGCCAGCTGCCGCCTAAAAAACAAAGGCTTTGAGTCACAGCCCGCTAACAGTTGCTAACGTGGTGCGGGGCGGCACAAGGCTGCTGCTGCTGCACGCTCACCAGGAGTTACTGTCAGCGGGCGGCTGCAGTTTCCTCCTGTGGGAACAAGACTTAAGTATTACCATATGGAGATTTTCTGCTGAGAACACCAGTAAAGCTGATGAAATCCTCCTTTGGCGACCGGGAGTGCGGCGGGGACATGAAATCCCTCCGCCCAGCCTGCCCGCAGCTCGGGCGGTCCCTCCCTGCCAGTCTCCTGACACCCCGGTGATGGGAGTCTGGTGCTTGGCCACGCTCGTGGGGACGTTTCAGGGAGGGGACAAGTGTCCAGGAGACTTCAGGTTTCCTGCCAGTAGCACAGCTCAGCCAGCTGAAGGGGCAAGCTCCTTCCTCGGCCAGTTCAAGCCGGCCGACTTCTCCCCAGCTACTGGGATGATGGCAGGAGGGACCATCGAGCCTCCAGCAAGCTCGTCCCCGCTGCCCTGGCATTTGGATGAAGACCCAAAGCAGAAGCACGAGGAAGACGCTATGCGGCTGCTCCCTCTGCTCCAGCTCGCGGGGTCGCGTCGTTATTCCACAGGCAAGAGCTGTTCAAATCCCACCACGATCTACCAGAAGCTCTCGAGAGCTTAGCTGGCCATTTTGGACGCAGCATCTGGTGGCCAAGGCTCCTACCAAGTGGTCTGGCTGCTCCAAGCGTGTTTGGAGCAGCTTTGTGCAAAGTGCAAAGCAGTGAAAACGGTCCGTTTTCACTGAAATGGAGACTTCTACCCGAAATGGGAGGTACTAACTGCAGGAACTCATTGCTGAGATAGCCAGGCTACAAATGCTCTCAAATTTTGAGCACTGATTTTTACGCTGGTCCTCTCCTTCCAGCTGAGCGTGCGGAAAGCGCAGGTCTCTGTTATCACAGCAAAGCAGAGGAGAAGATGACGGTGCCGTCACTGTCCCTCTGAGAAAGATGTGAGAGGGTCAAAGGCATCGTGAGGTTTTTTTTTTTCCCCGACTTTATCCATCGCATGTCCTTACAGGCAGATCCAACATAAACAGGATGACTCTTCCCTTGAGCCGAGAGCCACCGTCTCCGTGCAGGGCCCGCGCCGGCTGTGACTCACACGCACTTCACGGTGCCCACCAAAGGCCACCTTTCCCTCTCCTCTACCCTCACCTCACTTTTAGCGGCAAAAACGCGGAGCTGGCGACCACCCTCCCGGTCTTACCTGTCTGTTGAAGTCTTCTTCGTTCTCCATCCACATGTACTCTGCAAAGGGGTTGTTTTCCTTTTCATCGTGGCCGTTCACTACTTGGTCCTCTTTGGATTTGGGACTGGACGCCGTCGTACTGGCGAGGTCGGAGCCATTCATCATTACTGATTCTGTGAAGAGAAACAAGGGGGTGAGGGAGCTGCCGGGGACCCCTGTGCCCCAAAACCCGTGCTGGCCGCCCAGCTCCCAGATGGACGCTCGCCGCTGGCCACGCTGATGGGTGACAGCTCAGGCTTCCCGCACAAGAACCTGCTGCTTCCAGGCTGCTTTGTTCGAGGCACGGCGCTATTCCCGACTCCTCTTCTCTCCTCAAAAGCCCTCCGAGCAGCACTACACCTCCCCGGCAGGGGCAGCGTTTATTTTTCACGGTTTTGACCCGTCAGGGATAGTCTGAACATACTTGGTCTGGACTTAGAGCAATGGGTGACCTGACCAGCAGCTCCTGGAGAAGTTGTGAACAGGGCTTGGACAGGCACCGGCACCCCAAACCCCGTCCATCCATCCAATTTATTTTAAATCTGCCACAAAATACACCAAAAGACCACAACCGGGTTATCACTGCAGCCAACATATCAACACCACGGAGGCAGATTGCCCCCTACCCCAAAATACTGAATTTTTTGGCAGAACATATGCACGCCAGTTCACATCCCTTTATCTCTGCCGTAATTTCTTTATTTTTAGAGGGCATTTCGCAAAAGCCTGTTGGTTTGCGACATGAAGGCTGCCTTTTTCTAAAGCAGGCATTCGGAGTCCCAGGAGCACGGCCTGAAGCAAGACAAACCTTAGGGAGTCCCAAAACTCGCCTTCCGAAAGGCTCCCGGGAACAGACAGAGAGAGACACACACAGACATAAATGAGACGATAATTCAATAGCGAAACGCGGACTAAGGCCAGCACAACCCTGCTGAAAAACGTCCGAACATCACGTAACGACATCCCAGCTGTACGTTTTACCCTCCCCTGGTAAAGGCTTTATCTGGAGCTGAGCCGCGTCCAGCTCCAGCCCAGCACTGGGGCACAGGGACGAACGGGAGAGCATCCCGCGCGAGCAGGGGCTGGAAAACACGACTTCGTGGGACGAGTGGCAGGAGCGGGTTGCTTTGGTCTCGAGGAGGATGAGAGCCGGGGAGCCCCACACAACAGCCAGTTGGACCAGATGACCGTCGTAGGTGCCTTCCAGCTGAAATATTCCATACTACTCCAAGCCCTTTAGGTACAGAAGGAGGTTGCGGAAAAATCAGTCTTTTGTCCTTGTGGATACAGAGGGGTTTTTCCATTTTTGCAGCAGTAGAAACTGGAAACTGGATGGGAATGGGGTCGGGGAGACCACTAGCGACGACGGGAACTAATACCCTTCGCAGGGGGACAAGCCTCTCCCCAAAACCTCAAGCCCTTTAGGTACAGAAGGAGGTTGCGGAAAAATCAGTCTTTTGTCCTTGTGGATACAGAGGGGTTTTTCCATTTTTGCAGCAGTAGAAACTGGATTTGGAAGGGGAATGGGGTCGGGGAGACCACTAGCGACGACGGGAACTAATACCCTTCGCAGGGGGACAAGCCTCTCCCCAAAACCTTCAGGGAACAGTTAGTGATGGGCGCCAGGGGGGTCCGGGTATGCCTAATCCTGCTTGAGGAATACGAAGACAGATTAGACGACCTCTCAGAGTCTCCGCAAGCCCCTACAAGGCTGTGAGAGCAAGCAACGTCCCTGCCGGAGCCCGGTCTTTTCTGTCTCCACCCGGGGCACAGCTGCCCTCAGATCTGCCTGCCAGCAGCCCCCCCGGTCACCCAGGAGCGGGGATCCCACGTTACTCCTTAAATGCAGCCTGCTGTAGGGGCCAAGCAGATTATTCTTATTTCGGGGAGGAATCTGAAGCACAGACAAGTACACGAGAGCTGTCCCACGTTACTCTCCAAAAAGCAATCCCATCAATAACAAAGGTGCACAGCCCTTGGGTCCCCAGCAGCGGCACAGCTTTAACACAGCTGCTCCTGGGCAAAGAAAAAAGGGGGGGAAAAAAAAGGGGGGGAAAAAGAAGAGCAGCAAGGCCCTCAGGCTGCCTGCAGCCTTGGGACGCGGCACCAGGCCACACTGAAGCAGCCTTTGTTATCTGCAGAGAAGCAAGAAAGGCTCCGAACCAAGCATGGAAACGTAAACCGCGCCAAAGCCAACACGGCGGCTCTCCCATGATCAACGAGACTTATTGACGACAGACAGCTCAAGTCTGGCAGGGGAGAGTCGCAGGGCAGGCGGGAGGGGGAACAGAGCCGCAAAGCAAGCGAAAAGGCACGAAAGGTTTGGACGGGGGAGCTCTCCCTCCTTCCCTGCCTGCTCCTCTCGCCGCCAGCAGAGATGTTTGCACAGGCAGAGCCCGGAGCTCAAGGACACACGAGTTTTGAGGAGCCGGCGGGGTTCACTGCTTACGTACGGCGTCCGGAGCCGGGTCCTCCGCGCAGACGGGCAGGATCGGTGCTGGGTCGAACCGAAAGCCCTCCCGCTGCCCTGCTGCAGATCAGGCAGCTGCTGTCAAGAGACGAAGCGAGGTGCCTGTGCTGGTCCAGCGGCTCCGTACCAGCCGCTGCAGAGAACGGTTTAGCTGGAGAAGCAGCACGGGTAGAGGAGGGAAGGTTTTTCCAATGTTTTAATTTTATGGGTTTTATGTTTCTTTTGTTTTTTTTAAAAAAGAAATAAAAACCTTCCTCTCCCTCCCCAAGACTCCACGCTCCTCACTAATCTGGCTGCAAAGAGACCTTGCTCCCGTGGTGCCGGCTCTCGGCAGAGCTTTGCAGCTCTTTCTGAACAGCAAAGGGGGTTTTCCCCGAGTGTTTGGCGTGGGTGACCCGGGACCTGCGGCACGGCCGTGGGGAGCTGCGGGAGGAGGAGAGGCAGAGGAGGGCGGCTGGCCCGGCGCGGCGAGGAGGGCGGCGTGCTGTGGTTTGGGAGCAGAGACATGAAAGGACGGCTTGTGTCTAGTTTCCCTCCCAGGTTTATAAGGCAGCAGCAGGACTTTCATCGCTGTTCCCATCGGCAGGACAGGTTTTTCAGGCGGACGGGGAGCAGCAAAGGCAGCAGCTCTCAGCACAAACAGATCGTAACAGCAGAGCAGCCCTGAGCGCTGCCGGCATCCCAATGTCCGTGCAGAGCCTGCAGCCCCTCGGCCATCCACACGTCCCACTTCAGTGCCTGGAGCAAACTGAAGGGCTCCCGTGGGGCAGGCAGGGTCCGGGGATGCCGGCCGAGCTCGGCTTCCCGATTTCGGCTTCCACCATCCCCTAAGGGGCAGACGGAGGGGCCGGGATCCCCAGCTCGGAGAGGCCAGCACGGACATTTAAGCGTCACGGAGCGAGACAGGAGCCCTTCTGCAGAGCGGTGCCCCTGCGCTTCGCTGGGAGAAACGGCAGGCAGCGAGCGGCAGGCAGGAGAGGCAGGCTGCCCCGCAAGCCGGTCCCTG